CCAAAACCCTCCTAATTTTGTGGATTCCCACAATTCCCCCTCTCTGTTCACCTAAAAAGACACTTTCATAATCGTGTTGTTTATTATTTGTGTTTCGTAGCTTTACTATAATATTTCTGCTTATTACCTGCTTAAAGCATTTTCTTCCTTGCACTAAGCATTGCTGTATTACAACACAACAATTTAATTCTGTGAAAGTCCAGTCAGTTGAAAGGGCATAAATTACGCCTGACAATAGTTGCAAGTCATTGCTCAAAAAAGTCTTGTCGATTCTAAGGTCTTAATTCAAAACCTTCTTGCATGGTTTTTCTCCTCCCCTCAAGTCTGGTTTTACTTCGGCGTGGTCGGCTCCTTCCTGTTCATCCTCATCCAGCTGGTGCTGCTCATCGACCTGGCGCACTCCTGGAGCCAGCGGTGGCTGCACAACGCAGAGGAGGGCAGCGCCAAGGGCTGGTATGCAGGTGGGTCTGGTGGGCACCCGTGGGTCTGGTGGGCACCCGTGTTCTGGGGCTCAGCTCATCCCAGGGCCAGGTCAGGCTGAGCTGGCTGGGACTGGGGGGCTCTGCTCTGTGACGGTGTTCACAGGGATCTTAGGATGAGGGAGGAGATGAGGATCTGACTCCATGTTTCAGAAGGCTTGATTTATTATTTTATGATATATATTATATTAAAACTATACGAAAAGAATAGAAGAAAAGATTTCATCAGAAGGCTGGCTAAGAATAGAATAGGAAAGAATGATAACAAAGGTTCGTGGCTTGGACAGAGAGTCCGAGCCGGCTGGGCTGTGATTGGCCATTAATTAGAAACAATCACATGAGACCAATCCCAGACCCACCTGTTGCATTCCACAGCAGCAGATAGTCATTGTCTACATTTTGTTCCTGAGGCCTCTGAGCTTCTCGGGAGGAAAAATCCTAAGGAAAGCATTTTTCATAAAACATGTCTGTGACACTGCTCTCTTTGGTGTCCTCCCCCAGCCCTCTGCACCGTCACCTTCATCTTCTACGCCGCCTCCATCACAGCCATTGTGCTGCTCTACGTCTACTACACCAAGCCTGAGGGCTGCACGGAGGGCAAGGCCTTCATCAGCATCAACCTCATCCTCTGCCTCATCATCTCAGTTGTGTCCATCCTCCCCAAGATCCAGGTGAGGCCGTGGGGAGCACCCAGGAGCAGCTGGGGCTGTGTCACCCCGGGGTACAGGAGCACCCAGGGGGCTGGCTCTGTGTCACCCTGAGGTACAGGAACGCCTGAGAGGCTGGGGCACCCCGGGGTACAGGAGCACCCCCAGCACCCACTGTTGTGTTTGCAGGAGGCTCAGCCACACTCGGGACTGCTGCAGGCATCCCTCATCACCCTCTACACCATCTACGTCACCTGGGCCGCCCTGGCCAACGTGCCGAGTAAGCCAGACCCACCTGGGCTTTGGGGAGGGCTGGCTGGGGCAGGAGCACTCCCTGCACTGGGGGTCTGTCCCTCTGTGTCCCCCCAGGCCAGCGCTGTAACCCCACGCTGCTGCTGAGGAACAGCACTGGCTCAGCCACGGCCACCGAGCCCCTGACAACCTGGTGGGATGCCCCGAGCATCGTGGGGCTGGTGATCTTCATCCTCTGCACTCTCTTCATCAGGTGAGCACTTGGTTTGTGTCTGTGTGTGCAGCCATAGGGGGCACAGCCTGCAGGACAGATGGCCAAGGGCTGGGCAGGGCTGGCAGGGCCACAGGCACCCAGGCCTTTGTGCCCTGGGCTGGGTAGCGCCTCTGGAGGCCCCACAGGAGGAACCTTCCTGCCAGGGGCTGCACTTTGGTTCTCCCTCGGCCTCCCTGGGGAGGCTGGCAGGGGCAGCAGGTTGATGGCTTTTGTCCTTTCTGCCCCTCACATCTCCCTGCCCCACAAACAGCCCCAGCCCTGAGCCCCAGCCCTGAGCACAGAGCCTCGCCACTAGGGCGAGGTCACACCTTGGTCCGGGGGTTTTGTCACCAAAGGCTCTTTGTCCAGCCATCCCTGTCCCCAGGGACACAGGCCTGACCACAGTCACAGCTTTAGGGTTTCCCCACAGCCCCAAATTGCTCTGGCTGTCCTTGGGATCGCCCCAAGGACAGAGCCCCTGCCATGGGGTGGCCTTATCAGAGCAGATCACTGGATGGCCTCCCTCAATCTGCAGGCAGAGCTTTGCCTGTCCAGCTCAGGGCGCTCTCACCCTCTGCAGCCATTCACATTTGCTGCCTCCTGTTCCCCCAGTGCCAGCAGCACCCCCAGGGCCTTTCCTGGAGCCCTTTTCCAGCTGAGTGCCCCCCATTCCACACTGGAGCCTGGGGTTGTTCTATCCAGGGGCAAAACCTCGCTCTTCATTCTCTTTGTTGAGCTGTACAAGGTTCTAGTCAGCCTTCAGTGCCCAAAGGAGTTCTGACAGAGCTGGAGAGGGGCTTTTGTCTCTTCCCTCATCCAAGAACCCCTGAGAACACCATCGTGTTCTCAGGGGTTCTTGGATGAGGGAAGAGACAAGGATCTAACTCCGTGTTTCAGAAGGCTGATTTATTATTTTATTATATATATTACATTAAAACTATACTAAAAGAATAGAAGAAAGGATTTCATCAGAAGACTAGCTAAGAATAGAAAAGGAAAGAATGATAACAAAGGTTTGTGGCTCAGCTCTCTGTCCGAGCCAGCTCAGCTGTGATTGGCCATTAATTAGAAACAACCACATGAGACCAATCCCAGATGCACCTGTTGCATTCCACAGCAGCAGATAATCATTGATTACATTTTGTTCCTGAGGCCTCTGAGCTTCTCTGGAGGAAAAATCCTTAGGGAAGGATTTTCCATATAAGATGTCTGCACCAGGCTTTGGACCAGGGTGACAGAGATTTTGGGGCTCCCCACAACCTGCCTACCCCAAACTGCCCTGACTGTCCTGTACCCAAAGGGGCTCCAGGAGAGCTGCAGAGCTGCTGAAGGGCCACAGGCAGAGTTTTTAGGGTTTCCCCACAGCCTCTGTTAGCGTTCAGAAACACATAATCACGAGAATAATTCTATGCTGGTGCTTTTATTGAAGAGCTCTGGGTGTCAGGGGTACGAACCCAAATCTGACTCCAACATGGGTTCAGGATGAACATGTTTTTATGTTCTATCATTATATAACTTTCATGTTCATTATTAAACTTATATTGTTCTATTGTATACATAGATTTCAGCCAAGCATGGGCTCCTTGTGGTCCCCCTCAAACTTCTAACATAGTTTCTCATGATTCTTCTTATGATTAAGCAATAATTATATTTAATTACTAAACAATCATCACATCTAACAATTATATCATTTATCATATACTGCTGTTACGCAGGTGCAATTTCACATGATCTGGCAAACACAAAGCCTAACATTTTCAGAGTCCATTTTAAACATTTTTCCAGGGTCTCACTAATTCCCTGAATTTTATGATTTCAAAACCTTTTACTATCACCTCCACCCCGCAAAGTGCCCCGGGGACAGCAGCCCTGCCATGGGGGCGGTGGTGCTGACCCCGCTGCCGCTGTGCCCGCAGCCTGCGCTCCTCGGACCACCCGCAGGTGAACAAGCTGATGCTGACGGAGGAGAGCGGGGCCGGGGCCGGGACCGGGCCGGGCGGGGCGGAGGAGGGCGGAGTGCACCGCGCCTACGACAACGAGCTGGACGGAGTCTCCTACAACTACACCTTCTTCCACCTGTGCCTCCTGCTCGCCGCCCTCTACATCATGATGACCCTCACCAACTGGTACAGGTGAGAGTGGCCGTGGGCACCCGGGGCTGTTCCCGTTCCTGCGGGTCCCCTCCTCGCGGGTGCTGTGCCCGTGTGCTGGGCACTGCTGAGGGGTGTGAGGAACCTGCTCCCTTATCGGTGTTAATTATTGTTAGGGTTGTGCCTGGGCTTGCCAGCGTCCTCTGCTGCAGCCCGGGATCCCTTGGGAGGGGGAGCAGGGACTGAGGTTGAGGCTGCAGCAGTGGGGTCACACCTGGGGTGGTCACAGAAGTGGGGTCACAGCCCGGTGTGGCCAGAGAAGTGGGGTCACAGCCCGGTGTGGCCACAGTGGTGGGATCACACCCTGGGAGGGCTGAAGCAGTGGGGTCAGAGTTCTGGGGTGGCTGCATCGATGGGGTCACACTGTGGGGTGGCTGCAGAAGTGGGGTCACATCCTGGGGGGGCTGCAGCATTGGTGTCACACCCAGGGGTGGCTGCAGCTGTGGGGTCACACCCCGGGATGGCTCCAGTGGTGGGGTCACACTCAGCGGTGAGACCAGCCACGGGGCACCCCCATGTTCCCTGGGGGCACCCATCCCTTTGGGGCACCATCAGGGTGTCACAGCGATGGTGCCACCTCCCGTGGCTGTTCCAGGCCAGACGAGAGCCTGCAGGTGCTGAGCAGCCCCTGGACGGCCGTGTGGGTGAAGATCTCCTCCAGCTGGGCCGGGCTCCTGCTCTACCTCTGGACCTTGGTGGCTCCGCTGCTGCTGCCAGACCGGGACTTCAGCTGAGGTGGCCCTGGCCGTGCTGCTGCCACCGTGGCTCTGTCCCTCGAGGCTGGGGACAGCCCCAGCTCTGCCTCAGCCTCCGCTCTGCACTCAGAGCTGCTGTGCTGGGTTGTGCCTTCTTGCAGCTCTTTAGTTTTAGTTTGAAAGGGATGAAGTGCCAAGCAGAGAAATTAAGGGCTGGGAGAGACCTGAGGGTGGTTTTAAAGCTCTCAGCATCTCCGTGTTTGTGTAGTGCCTTGGGCAGTGCCTCCAGACCCTCTCTGCCCAGCAGACACCACTGCCTTGTCTTGGGAGGGTTTGGTTCTCCCCAGCCGCAGGGATGGGTCCCTGTTGGTGGCTTTTGGGGTCTCTGGGGTCTGGTGGGGTCCCAGGACCCAGGCCCTGGCTGGTGTTGTGTCCCCAAAGAGGGAAACAAATCCCAGGGACTCGTTGCTGGGGACAGAGCTCCTGCTGTGTGCCAGGTCCTGCTGTGCCAGCCTCAGCTGGGTGGTGGCCCCAGCTCCCTATCCTCTGCAGGGCACAGCTCAGTGTCACAGCTCCCTGTCCCCTGTGGGGCACAGCTCAGTGTCACAGCTCCCTGTCCATGCAGGGCACAGCTCAGTGTCACAGCTCCCTGTCCTCTGTGGGGCATCAGTGTCACAGCTCCCAGGGCACAGCTCAGTGTCACAGCTCCCTGTCCATGCAGGGCACAGCTCAGTGTCACAGCTCCCTGTCCTCTGTGGGGCACAGGACAGGGTCCCACAGGCCTGGCTCCAGCTCTTTGCCTTGTTAGTAAATTCTCGTTTGGAATAAACACGGTTTATTTGGATTTGGCTGTTTGGAGTCTTTCCTGGTGGGTGGGTGCCCGGGAGGAGGAGGGAGTGGGATATTTTAAACTGACCTGATGGCGGGGTGGGGGGCACAGCTGACAGGGCTGGCATCGCTTTGGGGCTTGGAAATTTGGAGCCCTGAACCCCAGTGCCAGCCTGTGACACCCCGAGAGCCGTGGTGGTGATGGTGAGCAAAGAGGGGTGCACAGCGCGGTGTGCAGACCATGCCCGGGGATGGGCACAGGGATGGGGTGAGCTCCGTGCGGGGCACACACGGTGTGGGGCGCAGAGCAGGGGTGGCCCCTGGCAGGAGGAGCGGGCACTGGTGCGGGTGGGAGCTGCCCTGGCAGCCGCGGGGCCGGGCAGTGCCCGCTGCCCACCGTGCAAAGCAGCCCTGGGACCCCGGCTGTGCAGCCCGTCCTGCTGCGCCCCAATCCCATTCTGATTCCCAATCCCATTCCCATCACGTTCCCATCCCATTCCCATTCCCGTTCCCGTGCGGGGCGGCTCCAGCCGCGCGATGGCGCTGCGAGCCCGCGGAGCGACAGCGGCACCGAGCCGGCACCCAGGGACCCCATCCGCAACCCAGGGACCCCATCCTGCTCCCTGTGACTCCATCCTACAACCAGGGACCCTCAGTGTGCACCCAGTGAACCCCATCTGGCACCCTGGGACCCCATCGTGCACTCCATCCTACAACCAGGAACCCCATCCAGCACCCAGGGACCCCATGCTCCCTGTGATCCCATCATGCACCCAGGGACCCTCATTGTACACCCAGTGACCTCATCCTGCACCCAGTAACTCCATCCTACAACCAGGGACCCCATCTGGCACCCAGGGATCCCATCCAGGCCCCAGTGATACCATCCTGCACCCAGGGACCCTCAGTCTGCTCTCAGCGACCCCACCCCTCACCCAGCAGCCCCATCCTACACCCAGTGACCCCATCCAGCATCCAGGGACTCCCAGTCTGCATACAGTGATGCCATCCTGCTCCCTGTAACCCTCGCCCCACACCCTACCCTCTGCACCTTTCACCCTGCACCCTTTACCCTACACCCCTGTGTCCCTACATGGAAGGTTCTGGCAAGGACGGGATTGCCAGATTTATTTCCCCATCATGCCTTCCTCCATAATTTCTTTCCAGGAGAATAGTCAATGTTCTTTGCTCTGTTTTTTTCAGGAAGCCCCTGACAGTTCCACCCCAATGCCAGGCGCTGTGCACCCCAAAACAAACCAGGAAATCAAGGCAGGGCACTGGGGTGACCCTGGCTGTGCTGCCTGTGCCTTCTCTGGCTTTGGGATTCCAGCAGGACAGGTTGTTCTGGTGCCATCTGAGCCATCCCTCTGGATTTATCTGCCCACACTGATCCCGAGCTGTGCAAGGCACCCCAGGAGCTCCAGCCATGGGAAGGCCTGGTTGTTTTTGAACCTTCCTGGCTGCATTTTGGGAATATATTAAATAAAAATATCTTAAAAAAAGAAAAAAAAGGAAAGAGAAAAGAAAATAGATGGATTGGTGGCACAAAATCCCCCAGAACTAAGCCTGATGTGAGCGGGACTCATGGGCAGTCTTGTCACAGACATCTTTTATGAAAAATCCTTTCCTTAGGATTTTTCCTCCTGAGAAGCTCAGAGGCCTCAGGAACAAAATGTAAACATTGATTATCTGCTGCTGTGGAATGCAACAGGTGCATCTGTGATTGGCCCATGTTGGTTGTTTCTAATTAATGGCCAATCACAGCCCAGCTGGCTTGGACATAAAGCCCGAGCCACAAACCTTTGCTATCATTCTATTCTATTCTATTCTATTCTATTCTATTCTATTCTATTCTATTCTATTCTATTCTATTCTTAGCTTAGCCAGCCTTCTGAGGAAATCCTTTCTTCTATTCTTTAATATAGTTTTAATGTAATATATATCATAAAATAATAAATCAGCCTTCTGAAACATGGAGTCAGATCCTCGTCTCTTCCCTCATCCCCAGACCCCTGTGAACACCGTCACACAGTCTGAGCCCCATTTCCCTCTCTGAGAATATTCTGAAATCACCACAGAGCTGTGGCTCTTCTGCGTTTGCTTCCCAGCAATTACAATCCATGCCTGAGCCCAGACGCACTGTGTTCTGCAGGGGGAGGCGGGAGGGACGCAGCTCCCTGGGCAGCACCCTGAGCTCAGCCTGTCAGGCAGAGGCTGCAGGGATGCCCCGTGTCCCCTGGAGGTGGCACCCAGCCCCTGGTGCCCAGAACAGCCCTGGGGTTCCCCAGCTGGGCTGGACCTCATGGGGCTGATGGAAAAGGGAGGAAACACGAGAGATCTGGGAGAGGGCAACAGGCACAGAGCCATGAGGGACTAAAAACTTCCTTTATCTGGTGATGTCACCTCCAAAGGCAAAAGTCCCCACAATCAGCAGCTGCTGCATTTCTGGGGTGCTGCCCTGGAGAGGAGAAGGCTCCAGGGAGAGCTCAGAGCCCTTGCAGGGCCTGAAGGGGCTCCAGGAGAGCTGCAGAGGGACTGGGGAGAAGGATGGAGGGACAGGAGGCAGGGAATGGCTGCCAGTGGCAGAGGGCAGGGCTGGATGGGATCTTGGCAATTGGGAATTGTTCCCTGGCAGGGTGGGCAGGGGCTGGGCTGGAATTGCCAGAGCAGCTGTGGCTGCCCCTGGAGCCCTGGCAGTGCCCAAGGCCAGGCTGGGCATTGGGGCTGGCAGCACCTGGCACAGGGGGAGGCGGCCCTGCCCTGCAATCAGCTGCCATTGAAGATCCCTTCCCACCCAAACCACTCTGGCATTCACATTCCTCAATCCAGGATGGAAACCAGCACCAAAACCCATTGCAGCAAATGGAGAAAGGAAAGGAAAGAATGATTTCCTGGCTGGTTGCAGGTGCCCCCAGTGCCATTTGCCACAGGGGGTTTGTAGCCTGGCAAGGGCTGGTTAGAGAGGTTTGGGCTGTGCCAGGGTGCCCAGAGCAGCTGTGGCTGCCCCTGGAGCCCTGGCAGTGCCCAAGGCCAGGCTTGGATGGTGTTTGGAGCACTGGGGAGGTGCCCCTGCCATGGCAAGGAATAAAACTGGCTGAGCCTTAAGATCCTTTCCAACCCAACCCCTTCTATTTCCATGATAATTTTCCGGGTGAATAATTCATCACCGAACATCTGCCACCTCCAGCTCAACAGAAAACGCTGCCCTGGGCTGGGTCCCCTCCCTGCCTGTCCCTGCCACAGCCACAGCTCCAGCCTGGGGTGGGATCAGAGTGGGGACACCCCCATTATCTCCCCAGGTGGCTTTAATTGCTTTAATTGCTCTAATTACTCTCTCTGGTGGCCACCCCAGAGGGATGGATGGGAGGTTCAGGGTGACTTTGGGGAGCCCAGGAAAAGCCATTCAGCACTCACAGAAGGTGGCTGTGACCACGGGGTTCCCAAATTAAACTGGATTTAACCCCAGGGTTGGGCACAGGACCCTCCTCGTGTCACCAAACTTTTGGGACCATGAGACGGGAGGACCCTCAGTGCCACCCAGGTCTGGGGACAGCAGTGCCACCCTGGCCCGGCCATCTCGGTGCTTCCAGGGGCTCCCCAGCATCTTTTATTCCCTTTAATTCACGGCCTCCGTTGTTTTTTATTTCATTCCTGGGATTAACACATCGGGCAGCAGCCGCACTGGCTCCCGCTCAAAAGAGGAGGGGAAAGCGTTTACATAATTCATTGAAATGAGGCATCCGAGGAAACCCAAATTGGACTTGCAGCATGTTTACAGAGCCACGCAGAGCTCCGCCATCCGCATCTGGAGCCCTTAATGCCTCCCAGACGGAGCCCAGGGCATGGATAATTAATTAATTGTGGAGCAGAGCCCCGGCCCAGCCCCCAAAGAGAGCATGGGGGCCGCGGGCGCCGCTCCCCTGGGGGTGTGGATTTATTTCCAGGGGCTTTTCTCCTTCCCAAAATGTTCCTTGGAGGTGCTGCGGGTGCTGGGGTTGGAGCCACGGGGGGGATGGGCTGGAAAATCCCGTGGGGGGGTTTGAGGGGAGGGGGAGCCCCGGGGGAGTTCCTGGGGGTGATGATGGGGCTGAGCCTGCCCGGGGAGGGGAACGGAGGGGACACGGGGAGGGGACACGGGGACACTTGGGGGGGACAAAACCCTGTAAGAGGAGGGGTCACGGGGACCTTTCGAAGGGGACAAAACCCTGTAAAGGGAGGGGACAAAACCCTGCATGGGGAGGGGACACAGGGATCCCGCGAAGGAGGCACAGGGACACTTGGAGGGGACACGGGGACCTCTCAGAGGGGACATTGGGACCCCTTGGAGGGGACAACCCCCCTGCAGCAGGGAGGGGACACGGAGACCCCTCGAAGGGGGCAAAACCCTGCAGGGAGAGGGGACACAGGGACCTCTCAGAGGGGACAAAATCCTGCAGGAGGGAAGGGGGCACAGGGACCCCGCGAAGGGGACACGGGGACCCCTCGGAGGGGACAAATCCCTGTAAGGGGAGGGGACAAAACCCTGCAGGGGTGGGGGACGCAGGGGCCTCTCGGAGGAGACACTGGGATCCCTCGTGGGGACAACCCTCCTGCAGTGGGGAGGGGACACAGGGACTTCTCAGAGGGGACATTGGGGCCCCTCGGAGGGGGCACGGGGACCCCTCGGAGGGGACAAAACCCTGCAGTGGGTAGGGGACACGGGGACCTCTTGGAGGCGGCACTGGGACCCGTCGGAGGGGACAAAACCCGGTAAGGGGCGGGACACAGGGACCCCCCTTGGAGTGGACACAGGGACCCCCCTTGGAGTGGACAACACCCCTGCAGCGGGGAGCAAAGGGCTGTGCCCCACTCAGCCCCAAACATCCCTGTTCTGTAGGATCCGGCAGCCCCTGCTCCAATCGGGGGGTCCTGTGAGACACCGGGGGTGCCCCGGGACCCTGCCCCGCCTTCAGCCCCTCCTGCCCTCGGGAATCGCTCCCTGCGGATCCTTCAGGGGCTGGAATCGCTCCCTGGGGA